TTCACAAAAAAGAAGGAAGGAAGGAAGGAAGGAAGGAAGGAAGGAAGGAAGGAAGGAAGGAAGGAAGGCTGATGTTTGTAATCCAGTATTCCTTGCCAGGATTCCAGATGGTATTTTCACAGTAGACTCAGATTACTGTTGTGAATATAACAAGCATAAGGAACTTTAGATAGTAATCAGGATTCCAGCATTTACTACAGTAAATGGATTGATAATCCCTAAAGAAAGAGCCCAGCTGGGAAATGTAAACTATGATGAGCAACAGACAGTTGTTTCTGTGCAATACATATGATGTCAGAGTTCAGCTGTATCATTTATATAACATCATAAGTAATTTTCTTTAATGTATCATTTATACTATATTTTTCCTGCATTGGTAATCACTACTGGAAAATTTGATGAAAGGTGTTTTCAGTTCCGTATTGAAACCATCTTTTGTTCCGAGATTGCTTGTTCACATACTTGGATGTAAGTTCACTCATAGAAGTCTAAGTGGGGCCTAACCAAATGTAAGCTTTTTAAGTCTGAATTATTTCAACTGATAATATTCAGTACATGATTAAAAATACTTTTCCAGTGGAATAAGGCAGATATTTTATTTATTTATTTATTTATTTATTTATTTATTTATTTATTTGTTTGTTTGTTTGTTTGTTTGTTTGTTTGTTTGTTTATTTGTTTGTCAAGCATATATAAGATAACTGGTAAAAGTATAAACATAATTTGAATACATGAAAAGAGTAAGAGTAAAAAGGAATATTAGGACAGGGACGGTAGGCACGCTGGTGCACTTATGCACACCCCTTACAGACCTCTTAGGAATGGGGTGAGGTCAACAGTAGACAGTTTAAGGTTAAAGTTTTGAGGGTTTGGGGAAGAAACCACAGAATCTGGTAGTGCATTCCAGGCATTGACCACTCTGTTACTGAAGTCGTATTTTCTGCAATCGAGTTTGGAAAGGTTTACCTTGAGTTTGTATCTATTATTTGCTCATGTATTGTTGTGGTTGAAGTTGAAGTAGTCATTGACAGGTAGGACATTGTGGCAGATAATTTTATGTACTACACTTAGGTCAGATTGAAGTTAGTGTAATTCTATGTTGTCTAAACCTAAAATTTGAAGTCTGGTGGCGTAAGGTATTTTATTGCGGTTAGAGGAATGGAGGACTCTTCTCGTAAAATATCTCTGGACTCTCTCAATTGTATTTATTTCCGATATGCAGTGCGGGTTCCAGACAGATGAGCTGTATTCAAGAATTGACCTAGCAAATGTTTTGTATGCTCTAGTTAGTAGTACAATATTACCAGAGAAGAAGCTAAGCAAGATTAGGTTAACAACTCTTAAAGCCTTTTTGGCAATGTTGTTACAGTGGGCTTTGGCACTTAGATCTTTAGAAATGAGTACCCCAAGGTCCTTGACAGAGTGAGGGCCATCTACAAGGTCATGTCCATCTAATTTGTATTTTATGTTTTGATTTTTTTTGCCAATGTGCAAGACAGAGCATTTGTTGGTTGAGATTTGAAGTTGCCACTTGTTAGACCAATCTGACACATAGTCAAGGTCTTTTTGAAGGGTAGTTGCATTGTCGGTGGTGTTCAGGGGTGGGTTCTAAATTTTTTTACTACCGGTTCTGTGGGCATGGCTTATTTTGTGGGTGTGGCTTGGAGGTCATGTGACTAGGTGGGCGTGGCTAGCTGGTCAGAGTCATTTCTGGAAGGTCCTCACACTTACAACCAGTCCTCGCACTTACGACCCGACTCATTTGTTTGCTTTTAACACTGATCAGCTGTAGGACGGCCCTTTGAAGCCCCGCGGCAAGAGTTTAAACAGGTTTTTTCCCTCTAGTCATCAGCTGGGACTCAGGAAGCAGCAATAGAGTGGGGGTGGGACCAAATAAAAGGTAAGAATAACGTGGGGGGGTGGGGGGGAGGGCGGGGGGGAGAACCGGTTCGGTGACATCATATCGTCACCGCTCGGCTGAACCGGACCGAACCGGGAGGAACCCACCACTGGTGGTGTTGAATAGTTTAACATCATCAGCGAAGAGAACACAGTTGCTTTTAATATGATCGCAAAGGTCATTTACGGTATGTAAAGTATGAAGAGTGTTGGACCTAAGACACTGCCTTGGGGAACACCACTATTAACAGGTACAGGAACAAGCCATGTACTACTTTACCTTCAGATCATGGTTTCTAATGCAGATTAGAAGCAATGTTAAAATTATTCTAATTTAACAAATGTTCATGTATAAATCCAAAGCTATAATTGAATTGTGTTCATATAGTATTAATTGTGTTAATATTAACACTACTAATCATGTAATGTTAACATAATTAGTCTTATTAACATTTTTTTCGATTTGCCAAAGAGATAAGCTACCAGAACTACAACATTATGTATACTGTTTCTTCAGTTTTAAATCACTCTTCTACTTGTGATAAATAAGTCATCCAACTGGTTCATTGGTTTCATCGGAAGAGGTCAATTCTGCTGCTAGCAGACAACCTGTTTCCAAAGAACCTATGATTATTTCATGGCATCACTATTAAGACATGTAATTATGAAAAATGCAAGACACAAAGGATTCCTGTTGACATTAACAATAGTTCATATTTATCCTTTCCTCCATCCTTTTCAATCTCAGTTACGGTTTATATAATTGAATTCTTCTTTTAGATGCAAACTTTTTTCTGTAGAAACTATTGAAGGCCAGAGAGAAATTCTTTAGGATTGTCTGCTGGCAATACATTTTTTTCCTAGCTGACAATGACATTAGTGATCTTGAGCAACTATCATAATAGGACCTAGTTACCAGTTGGATAAGAGAGCCCCAACAAAGACCACTAACAAAAGCTGGAGACTAAATTGGGAAGATGAAAATAATTCTGAAAGAAGAAAATGACAAGTCACCCCCATGTTATTGCCATGAAAACCAGGGATGAAATGTTCCCGGATCAGACCGGATCGCCCGATCTGGTAGTGATGGAGGCGGGTGGTTCGGAGAACCGGTAGCAAAAATCCCTGCCGCCCCATTGCCCAGCTGAGCCGTGCAATCATCAGAGGCTTTTTTTTTCTCTTTAAAAGCATTTTTTTCTACAACCTCTTTGGCCGAAAAATGCTTTTAAAAGTTAAAAAAAAAGCCTCTGATGATTGCGCAGCTCAGCTGGGATCATCAGAGGCTTTTAAAAGCATTTTTTCTACAACTTCTTCGGCCGAAGAGGTTATAGAAAAAATGTTTTTAAAAGGAAAAAAAAAGCCTCTGCTGATCAGGCAAGTCAGCTGGGATTGTCAGAGGCTTTAAAAAAAAAACAAAGCCTCTGCTGATCAGGCAAGTCAGCTGGGATCGTCAGAGGCTTTAAAAGCATTTTTTTACAACCTCTTCAGCTGAAGAGATTGTAGAAAAAATGGTTTTAAAAGTAAAAAAAAAAAGGTGGCCATGCCCACTCAGTCATATTACAACCCCCCACCGAGCCACGCCCACTGAACTGGTAGTAACAAATTTTACATTTCACCACTGATGAAAACTACATGACATACTCATTAAGTCGCTAGATATAAAATTTGCCTTAAGGGATATGTTATTATGACACTATATGTTTTTAAAGTTTATAGAATATACACATATACCACCATTATATGCAGTTTGAGTGTCTGTGATGATGTTCGGGTGGGTGGGCAGAGCCTCCTGCGCTACCGCTACTGGGCAAACCAATAGAAACCCACCACTGTTTTGACTGGAACACCAGTTAACGTTTAGTTCCCATTTCACTTGTTTTTTTTCTCCACAAATCTGTTTTACTTTTCTTATGTTCAATGAAATTTATACACTACTAAAACTCTTATGTGCATTTGTATCCTTTAACTGGGTGAAACAGTACATCATAAGGCAACATTTCTTGAACTAAGGTGCCTCATATGACTTGTATACAGAAGGCTTTCAAAATCTAGGACCCATGACTCCTATAGAAATAAAAATTTGACAACATTGTGGTCACTTTAGTACCATTGCACCTTCTGACTTCGCTTCCCAGAAACCCGTAGGCAAAGATGGGAGAGAAGCATATCCCTGCCTTCTTTCCTGCCTCCCTTTTGACTTTGTGCTGATTGGTTGACAGCAAGGTGAGTGGCAATTGGCTGACATTTGAATGATGGTAGGCTGTGAGGGAAGGTCTGGAGTGTGGCTGTTGGTGATGTAGGGCTGTCAAGGGGTTTGTTACCAGTCAACATGTGAACCTTCTTCCTTCCTGGAAGGAACAGGATGAGGAGTGGGTGCAGTTTTTGTCATGGGTGACAAAAATTGTTCTCTGTCTACCAGCAAAAGTGGTAGGCAATTCTACAGGTCAACTAAGGAGGAGTGATTTTTGACACTTCCTGCCAGATTCCCACAAACAATGTCAACAGGGAATCCAGTAGGAAGTTAGACATCGCTCCCACTCCTGTTGCCTTTTTAAGCAATAGCAATAGCACTTAGACCTACATACCGCTTCACAGTGCTTTAAAGCCTTCTCTAAGTGGTTTACAGAGTCAGCATATTGCCCCAACAATCTGGGTCCTCATTTTACCGACCTCGGAAGGATGGAAGGCTGAGTCAACCTTGAGCCGGTCAGGATCAAAGGAATCAAACTGCTGGCAATGTGAGCAGAGTTAGCCTGCAATATTGCATTCTAACCACTGCATCACCATGGCTCTTTACTTCCTAGGTTCATTCTGTTTCTCTGTTTAGATAAGGAAATATCTCTGAAAGATGTTCCAATGGGTCATGGATTGTCTAGCACTCCCATAGTGCTTTATCTTTTCCCTAAAATCCCTGACTGTAAGATTAAAAAGACAAAGGTTAACTTTTTTAAAGCTTATTTTCCATGTAACAGCATGAATCTACTCTAAACCGGCCACCATGGCTTTGTTTATACTTGAACTGTTGCTTTGAATAAGTACAGGAATTGTCTGCAAAGCCAAAAATGTGTATTAAGCTTTTCTCTATTATTCTCTGTGTTCAGAACTGCTTGGATAAAAGGAAACTCCTTAAACAGAATGAGAACAAACAAGAAAGGTATACTACAATTTATACACTAATCAAACATTTTATGTTGTCGCTGCGCTATGCTGTATAATTGTTCTCCATAGTGTAGAAATGGGAGGTGCCAGGCTGGGATATTCTATGCTCTAGCTCTATGTCCTGAGTTGAAAACTTCTGAAGATCTGCCTACCTGGTGACGTCTCTTCAGTATTTTTCAACTCAGCACTAGCTCATGGTTGCAACTTCAGCTCCTGAGCTTTGAGTTGAGTTTAGGATTTCCCTGGAGAATTTTTTTTTCCTTTTGATTTTCTCTATTTCTTTCAATTTGAAGAGCTGGCTTGCAGGTAATTGGCTGGGGAGGGCTCTCTGCTAGCAGATTGAGCCGGGGGGGGGGGTTGATCGTCTCCCCCCAACCCCTCCTTCTTTCTTAACAGGCTGGGAGTGTTGGCTGGTTGGCTTTCGCCCCGGTGGTCCCAGAAAGCCTGCTTTGAGGCAGGGATCGCTCTTTTTAGCTGCTGGAGCCATGCCTGTGCCTTTTAGCCTTGCCGTGCGGCTCCTTTGATCCCCGCCTATCAGCTGTAGGGCGGAGCAGTTTTTTTGCTTCTTTTTTGCTGCTTCTCGCCTTGCTGAAGCCAGCCTTTGAGGCGGGGATCGTTTTCTAGCAGCTGGAGCCGTGCCAGTGTGATTAGCTTGCTGCACGGCTCCTTTGATCCCTGCCTGTCAGCTGTAAGGTGGAGCGGTTTTTTTCTCCGTTTTTTTGCCGCTCTCTCGCCTTGCTGCAGCCGCGCCAGCCTTGAACAGTCTGGGCGTTGGCTATTTCCTAATTTTGAGTTGGAGGAGGCTTGAAGCTCAGAAGAGGGCTGTGCCAGCCGCCTGGGTCACGCTCCGTCATTTTTGGACACCTTTTGTGCAGAGCGGGCCCTTGATTGTCCCTGTAAGTTGCAGCGGCCATTGTTCCCGTGTAATTTGTGGCAGCCATTAAGTCCGGGCGGATTTGATCCCCCGGCAATTTCTGTGGCACAAGCTGGTGGGCTCTCCGCTGGAGTGGATGGGAGCCTGGACTGCTGACCAGCTTTGTTAATGTCTGTGGGCTTGCTTTGCAGCCTGACCTGACCTCGTTGGAGCCCTCAGATTGCTATGCTTGCTGTTTGAAATTTGACAGTTACGAGTGGCCATTTTGAAGGTTGCAGCGGCCATTTTGTCTTCATTCAGGCCAGTATATCTACATTTACTAATATTCAGGCCTTTATTTCAGCCCCTTTTTCTGGCTAGACTTTGGACTGGAAATCTCCTTCTCAGTTATGGGGGATGAGGATAGGCATGCATCCTTTTCTGCTGAGGGCTCTTGGTCTCCTATTCAAGACAGAAGCAGAGCTACTTCTAGGCCTCGAACTGCCAGCATTGCGGCAGCCAATAAGATTAAGGCCAAGGCCAGGGCTTGCTCTGGCCTGTCCAAGGCTGATGAAAAGACAGCTCAGGTCAGACAACGAGCCTTGGACAGAGAATTTGCAAAGGCCTCTACTGCTAATCCAACTCCTGAACCCCCCCAGGTTTCTGTTTCTGTACAACACCAGTCTGTTCAAAGTGTGGAAGCGGCAGTTCCACAGACTGTACAATCTCCTGCTTCAGCAGGGCCTGCTAGGCCGTGGTCTCCAGAGATGCAGGCCGAGCCTCAGCCCCTACCAGGGGCCTCCGCCAGGGTGAGGTGGGGGGAGCAGGATGTTCCCACATTTATGAAGGCCTGGGTTGAGCAGGCAATTAGACAGGGCATTGCAGAGGGTATGCAGTTACAATCGCAGGCCTTTGCCCAAATGTATGCCTTCCAACCAGAGGTAGAGGCTCAGGAATATGTTGCAGCTCCTGAGGACTACCAGGACCAGAATTCCCCTTCTCCATCTGAATTGGCCGATTATGAGGAGGACTATCAAGGGGAGGGGGAGTTTTCTGATTTAGATCAAGACCAGCCCCCCAGGCCTTCCTTCAAGGGTTTATTTAATCCAGCCCTTTTGAAGCCTTTGCTGTCAAAGGCCAGAGCTACTGCTCGTTTGGGGCCTGATCCATCACTCTCAGGTGCCAACTTGGGTAGTGGAGAGCAGGATGATTTTTTGTTCATGGAACAAGCCATGGAGGCGGACACTATTCCTATCCTGGGAATGTTCCTGTACATGATTCGTAGTCAGTGGGCGGCCCCAGCGGTAGCTGCCAGGGCCTCAGGTCTGGACAATCAGTTGTTTACGGTTGATGTGGACATGCTTACCTTGATGGAGGTTCCCAAGGTTGGCGGCCCTCACCTCGTCTTCGGTTTTACCACCTGATGCGGAGGACGCCTTGAAGGCAGAAGATAGATGGGAGGAGACGGCGCTTCATCACGCTCACCAGGCAGACGCCTGGGCCATGAGAGCTTCTTCGGCAGCATCTTTCCTCCCCAGGGCGTCGGTCCGATGGCTTCGCCAGCTTCAGGGCCGTTTGGCGCCAGATGATGTTCGGGCCCATCAAGACCTCTCCAAGATCCTTGCAGCGCTGAGTATACTGCGGATGCTACCTTGGCTGCTGCCAGGTTCTCCGGCAGAGCCATGGCTTCGTCCGTGACAGCTAGGTGTATGCTTTGGCTGCGTCATTGGCGCATGGATGGGAAGAACAAGTGGAAGTTGGCTTCAGCACCATTTGAGGGAGGTTTCCTTTTTGGGCGGGCCCTAGACCCCTTGCTCATTGTATAAGAGAAAGATTCTCCTGTCCCAGGGCAGGCGAACAGATTTCCGTTCCTCACCTTACTACAGGCAGCCCTCCTTCCGCCAGGGGGGAGCTGGGCCAAGCTTTCCCCGTCAGCAGTGGCCCTTCCACTACTCTAGGCCTAGTTTCCAGGCCGATAAATCGACCTTCTCCCGTGGTCGTCAGCAGCAGACCAACAAGCCCTTCAGGGGCTCTGGCGGCAGAGGGGCTAGGAGATCAAAGTGACTGCCCGCGTCAGGCTCCTATTGGGGGCAGGCTCACCTTGTTTGCAGACCACTGGGACAACCTGACAACAGACAATTGGGTGGGGGAGACAGTAAGAGCAGGGCTCTCCCTTGAATTCCTTTCACCTCCTCCGAGGGGTTTCCTCTCTTGCCCAGTTTCAGGAGACCCGTCCAGGCGGGGGCTCATGGAATTGGCTATCCAGGCCATTCAGCTGGTTCCACTGGGGCAAAGGGGGCGTGGATTCTACTCCATCCTCTTTGTCATCCCAAAGGCCTTGGGGGGGTGGGGGTGGAGGGCAATTCTAAATTTGAAGGGACTCAACGAGTATATCATTTACAGGACGTTCAAAATGCATTCCTTGCATTCCATCTTAGCGGGGATCAGGGAGGAAGACTTCCTAGCCTCCATAGATTTGACCGAAGCTTACCTCCACGTCCCTATCTGGCTGGAGCATCGTCAGTACCTGAGATTTTGTTATTCAGGCCACCACTACCAATATCTTGCCCTGCCGTTCAGGCTGGCCTCCGCCCCCCGGACGTTTACCAAGATTCTCTCTGTCTTGGCGGCATATCTCAGGTCTCTTCCCATCAGAATCCAGTGCTATTTCGACGATCTGCTCCTACAGGCATCCTCACAGCGGCGAGCGGAACAGGACTTGGCTTGACAATAGGGGCGCTGAGGGACCATGGGTTCTCTGTGAATCTGTCAAAGTGCCAACTTGTACCTTCAACGAGGTTAGTTCACTTAGGGGCCCTGATAGACACGCAAGCGGGGCAGGTTTTCTTGTCCCAGGACAGGCAGGACAGTATACGGGTGCTGATTCAGCTGATTCAGGGGAGCCAGACTGTGCAGGTAGACCAGTTGTCCCAACTGTTGGGGAAAATGATTTCCTGTCTGAACATTGTTCCTTGGGCCAGGTACCATGCAAGACCACTACAGTGGTTCTTGCTCCAGTTTCAGAAGGCGGGAACAAGCTCATCCAGGATCAGAGTTCGGGTGCCGCCACGGGTTCTGCGTTCCCTGGCTTGGTGGATGTCAGAGGCCATCCAGAATGAGTGTTACTTCAGGGAACCCCACAGGGTGGTAGTGACATCAGATGCCAATCTGTTGGGCTGGGGGGGGCATTGCAAGTCGCAGGTGGCCCAGGGACACTGGTCCCACCTAGAACTTTCCCAGCAGATCAATTGGTTGGAGCTCCGAGCGGCCCGTCTGTCTCTGCAGGCCTTTCTTCCACAGGTGAGGGGACAGCATCTGCTCCTTCTCACAGACAACACGACGACAAAAACCCATATAAACACGCAAGGAGGGACTCGTTCCCGGACTCTGATGCGGGAGGCAGAGACTCTTTGCAACTGGGCAGAGACTCACCTTCTGTCCCTAACAGCAGACCACATTGCAGGGACGGACAACGTCGAGACCGACTGGCTGAGTCGGGCCATTGTGGACCCATCGGAGTGGAGGCTCCACCCCAGCCTGTTTGCGGACATAGTCGACCGGTTCAGTCGCCCGGTGATGGACCTCTTTGCCTCTCCAACAAACACTCAACTTCCCTGTTTCCTCTCCCGTTTCCCTGCCCCGGGAGTGGAGGGAGTGGACGCTCTGCAGACCCCGTGGCCCAGGGGCCTATTATACGCCTTCCCTCCCCTACCTCTGATCCCAGCTGTAATTTGGAAGGTGTTGTTGGAGGGGGCGGAGATAGTGTTAGTGGCCCCTCACTGGCCCAGACGGCCGTGGTTCGCCGGCCTGGTCGACCTGTCGGTCGCCAGGCCCTGGCGGATTCCCCTGGACAGAGTCTCCCTCAGTCAGGGCCCGGTGCAGCACCCGGACCCACAGAGACTGCAGTTAGCCGCTGGAGGTTGAGCGGGGGCTCTTGAGGAGGGAGAACTTTCCTGCCAGGGTCATCCGGACTATGCAGGTGGCCAGGCGGCCCTCCACCACGCGCATTTACGAGGCCACCTGGAACAGGTTTGCAGTGTGGTGTGCCTCCAGACATTTGAGTCCAACTTCAGCATCGGTGGTGGAAGTGCTGGAATTTTTACAGGAGGGGTTGGACATGAGACTTTCCACTAACACCTTAAG